CATTTTGGAGTTTATTACGAGATGGCGGAGAATTCCCGTCAGAAGTGGAGACGGACGGGTGGGTGCTTGCAAATGTTCTCAGGAGGCATGGGCGAATCTATTTTTAAGTGGTGAGGACGCTGTGCAAAACAAAAGCCTTCACAATAGGATTTGGTGTCCAGATCAGTTTAACCGGGAGAGCTTAAAGCAGCTTGGAAACCCATTTTGGAGTTTATTACGAGATGGCGGAGAATTCCCGTCAGAAGTGGAGACGGACGGGTGGGTTGGGGAGAGGAGGTCGCTTCCTGGACAGCCCCGCCAGAGGGTGGGCTCTCTTGCCCCACGCCAAAGCTCAAGCCAGGGTCCCCAAATCCTTCAGTATGTGGGTCTCAAAGGCCGGCTCGGTTTCAATAGACCTCCGTCGCCATCCTCACAACTTGGCTCCATGGGAGAAGAAGGTTCTCCTGCCTGTCCTCTCCTGCCAGGACTTCCCTCCGGGTCATCTGCTGGAAAGGGGAAGGCAAGAAGATTCAGGGCAGGCAGGGCGTAATTGACTTAGGGGCTTTGCTGCTATAAGATACTGTGAGGGGCACGGGTTTAGAGGGGCTTAAAAGAGGATTAGACAAATCCAGGAGGAGGAAGAGATGTAACTGTGTGTGTGAGCTGCTGAGAGCCAACACGGTGTAGCAGCTAAAATGCTGGGTGCACAAGGCATCAGTGGGGAGCCTCTCCTGAAACATCCCACAGACATGGAAATCCTACAGGGGTTGGCATAAGTCAGAAGTAACTGAACCGTGCATAGCACACGTACATACAGACGGGCCTGATTAGCAAACGAAGGGTGGACTCCCTCCGCCCGCTAGGGATTTGCAGGGAGGATCTGGTGTGAAACCCTGGGAGGTCCGTAGCTGCCAGTCAGAGTTGGCCGTCTGGAGCTTGATGGACCCAGGTTCGGAGTCAGCACCAAGCGACTTTTCCTAGGCACTTCTCTCCCTTCTCCTCGGAACCAGAGAACTGGGCAGGGCAGTGGTCATGCCACCTAGTGACCGCTCCAGAGGGCACACTATCCGGGTTGCACCTCTGGCGACAAGAACAGCGCAGGGGCGAGTAACCTCCTGGGATTTGGGGGACCCAGTGGGACCCTCCGGGATGTAGATGAGTCTTCCTCTCTACCGTGTTCCTGGTTGCAGCACTCTGAGATGCAAGAGGGTGCCAGGTTGCCCTCTGTGCCATAGAGGAGGTCCAAGGGGGTGGCTGTGGCAGCCACAGCAAGGGCTTTGCACCCGCCCCTCGTGGCCCACCTGACAACTAAGAGGCCCCCATTATGGTCTGGGGCTCGTGGTTTCCACGGCCAAATGGTTGTGTTTCCCCGGGGGTGTTCCTGTGGGCAAGCCGAAGCCGGAGATCGCCAAGCGCTGCATGACTACAGCTGTTCAGGGGCTCACCCGACACTTCCTCGGCCTCTGGTGACCCCTGAACCCTCCTCTTCCATCAGGTCTCCTTAATAGGAAAAGCTTGAGGAGGCTTTGGGCTTCTTTCTCTGTTTTGTGATGATGAGTGGAAATCTTTATTTTCTTAAGAAAACTCCAGAGTTGAGTCAGTTTTCCTGGCAGAGCTCCGCGCCCGGGGTCAAAGGTAGTTTGCCAGCCCTGTCAGGAGGAGTGCAGCCTCTGTGGATCTTGGCTGCAGGCGCTCCCCGTTTGCAGCTAAATATAAACCGGACGATCCACCCCGTCTGCATGCTGAGCTACTCCAGAAGCCTCTCTCTCACCTGGGAAGCGCCCGGCGTCCTTTTTGCCGGCTGAAGGTGGCCAAGGACTGGCTAGTTCAACCTGGCCAGTAGCCGTCCGGTAGCTCACCCACCCATATACACAAACACACCCACCCACACCCACATACACACACACACACCGGTCCCAGTTTGAGTCCTGACCCATGATTGGTTACCCCACCTGCAAGAGGAGCTTATTCAACATTTTCACTGATAAGCTGTGATGCCGGGGAGCTGATTAGCATCCTCAGAGGGAAAGGTGCCTTTTTTTTAAAAAAGGGGAAAAAGCAGCCAACCATTTGTAGAGTTAAGAAAGCTGTGTCCTCCTGTGGAAAATGCCCTCTTATTTACAGCACGGCCCAGTCAGTCTGATTTAAAGACCAAGGACGACATTTACCACCCCATAGTGCTACGCATTGCCTCACCATCTTCAATGAACTGGGTACTCAGTTTACCAACCTTGGGAGGCTGGAAGGCAAAGTCCGCAGTACTGCAGTTTAACCACTGTGCCACAGGGCTCGGCGTGTGGCCACATTTATGGTGGTCTGTGAGGCTACTTTAAAATTGTAGCATTATAAAGTTGGGAGGGAACCCAAAGGTCATTTAGTCTAGCCCTCTGTGGAGTCGAGTCCACCTTATCTCATGCACGGGGTGTTAATACTGTTTAAAGCTTCTCCTCTTCTTTTGTGGACCACACAGTGGGCCGCCCACCCACCCATCCACACTCCTTCCACGGAAATGATTTCAGCAGCTTTGCTGGCTTGCGATCCATTACCGAGTCTGGCTCAAATGGCTGTTTTTGACCTTCAAACCCCAGCCTTGTTTGGCACCCGGCTGAGGACTTTGCTGCCTTGGCTGTCGGCAGCTGGCAACCATATGTTTGCCTTGTCTTTGAGGTTCTCCTTTCCCTCTTGGTCTGGTAGCCTCCCTCCCACCCCCCTTTTAAATTTTGCTTATCTAGCTTAATTTCTTCTGTGCTTGCTGTGAAAGAACCCTTTGGTGGGACCCAATAATAAAATAGTGATAGTGTTGAAGAGCTGTTGAAGAGCTGGAAAGGGCAGAAGGTAGTTGGAAGGAGGAGGTGTGATCATGGTGCATCAGGTCTCTCCCCACAGTGCGGGTGATCCACGAAGCCTCTTGGGCGCAGTCAACTGGAAAAGACAGATCCCACTGGATTTCCTTCCATTTCCCCGTAGTGTTGAAGAGCTGTCGAAAGTTCTAAAAACCTTCCACAGCTGGAAAGGGCAGAGGGTAGTTGGAAGGAGGAGGTGTGATCATGACGCATCAGGTCTCTCCCCACAGCGCGGGTGATCCACGAAGCCGCTTGGGTGCAGTCAACAGGAAAAGACAGTAGAGAGATCCCACTGGATTTCCTTCCATTTCCCCCTTTTTTCCTGCCGCTCTTCTTTTCACGCTGAAAGGAAGGTGTAATGAGAGGCTGTGCATTTCTTAAGGCAGCTCTGCCTTAATGGCAAAGCTGCTTCGTCCCCTGCTTCCACCCAAAGAGAACAAGCCTGGAACCACTTTCTGAAGGTAACAGCGTCGTCACTGGCAGGGTGGCGAGCCGGGCTCCCGTGGCCATCACGTCCGTTCTTAGCCCCTGCCCGTTTGGCTTCTCCGAGGGCAGTCCCCAGCCCTGACTGGCCCTTGGTTTCGGGAACAGGGCCCTTGCCAAGGCCAGGGCGTAACGGGCTCTTAAAGCCTCCTTGTTTACGACCGTTTTTCTCTGCCTAATCAGGGCTTAGGACCTGAGCCAGCCAAAACATGCTGAGTGCCAGGGATGGATCTCCAGGTTTTGGAGCCTTGATCGCCTGCCGGGGACAGGCAGGGTGGCTTGGCTCCTCCTTAGCAGCCAGCCCTCGTTTTTAGAGCTTGTGCAAATGGGCCGGGCTACGACCTCCATCATTCCTAGTCAAAAGATTGCCAGCCGTCTCCACTGCAGAGGAAGAGGTTTTGTAGTCCTCAAACCCGAGAACAGCGTGACTCGTTGACTTTTTCCTGTTCTCCGCATTAGCAGGGTGCGGCAGGTGGCGGTTGAGCTTCTGGGTTTAGTCTTCCAGAAACTTAAGCAATCGGGCAGAAGTAGAAAAATGGTTGCTTCCAGTGATAGTGCTGGAGGAAGGAAGCCTAAACTTGGTGACAGAAGCCCTTAGAGCTGACGTCCATGTAGGCCAGTGACCATTTAAGAGAGGAGGCGGTGTCTAATGAAGGAGAGCAATGAGTACTCTGACTTCCAAGAAAGAGGAGGAATTAATTGACCCACATTGTACTGTATATTCCAACAAGTGGTGATGTGGGAAAGAGGGCCTAAAGATACCTGCATAGCCTTCCGTTGAATCAAATGTTTGCTCCCTATTTTAGTGCTGTATTGTTCACTCTGACTGGGAGCTCTGGCTCTCCAGGGATGTAGAAACCTTTCTCAAGACCCCCCGGGACTTCCTGGTGATCTCCTACCCAAACGCTGGCTGGGCCCAACCCTGATTATAATTTGAATCCTGATGAGCACTATGATGCCTTTCCTGGAGGAAAGGTGAGTGAAGTTGGCACATTACAAACAACATTTTGTGGTTGGTTCTTCTACCTAGAAGGGGCTGCAGGCTTTCCTTTCTGCCTTGTGACACAAACGTTATGATCACTTGTTGATTTTTGTTTTCGCTGCTGGGGTCGGTGGGTTTCCTGCCATCGGTGGAGCATGCAGGCCAGCCCTTGATCGTCAGAACCATAACCAGGCGTTTTGACACCTGGGGCTTCCCTGGCTCTGTTGGTGGAGCTTTGGATGCATGAAATTTGCAGATGTGGGGAGAGGATGGAAGAACAGGGAGCAACACCTGGTGCTGAGCTTGTTCGTTCGTTTATCCGTCCGTCCGTCCGTCCGTCCGTGGTCACAACAGCCCTATTGCTTCTGCACAGAACCTATCTAGTCCACCCGCCCATCCATCCATCCATCCATCCATCCATCCATCCATCCATCCATCCATCCATCCATCCATCCATCCATCCATCCATCCATCCATCCCTTCCTTCCTTCCTTCCTTCCTTCCGCCCGCCTGCCTGCCTGCTTGCCTGCTTGGGAAAGAGCAGCTAGAGATGGGAAGTATGTTCAGGAGAGGCAGGTTTCAGCATCCCATATTTTGCACCCTACTCTGGATCAAAGCCACCCTACACCTGGCTCTCTTTGGGCGGGCGGGAATTCAAAAGCCATGAACCTCACACCATCCGGCTGATCAGTCTCTCCTTCTCCCTCTTCCAGACGAACGGGCCGCGGCGGAAGAGAAGGTCGTGCAGTGCCAGAACCCAACCTGTGCCGACAAACGGAGAGCCCTCAAGGTAAGTGGGCTGCAGTGCCTCTCCTTCCATCCCCTTTCATGCTCCGGCCTGGATTTGGGGAGGGGATGTTATCCCATCATAGTCCCCGTGAAAAACCATTGTTGGATGGAAGTCATTTTCTAGGTCTCTCAGTCTGGCACCCAGTGGTCATGGGGGGGGCTGTATATTCCTGGGCGAAGTGAACCAAGGTGGCAAACACAAATTCATCCGTGGAGAAGCACCACACCGTGAGGAATGGAGAGCAGCCACCCGCTCGTAATAATAGATTTGTGTGTGTGGCAGGCCAGTGGCACACCTGTTCTAGGGGCTGTGGTTACATCCTAGTTGTGCGTCTGTGCAAAGGCAGGTGTCGTGGGAGGTGGTTTAAAACAGAACCAAAAGATGAACCCTCAGTGATTCTAGCAAGCACAAACTTGATTTGGACTTAAGCGCTCCTGAGGGTCGGCGGCTTAGCTCTGTCAGTAGGCAGGGCGGGCAGAGTGAATGACGTTCTCTGTAACTAGTTACTCTCTGGGAGTTATGCCAATGGGACAAAGTTAGCATTTCAAAAGCACCAAAACAGCCGAATTGCTTTATTGCTGTGACATTGGTGTCTAGTGGCCTTAAAAGGCATTTGAAGAAACAGTTTTGATAGGTTGTTGTGGGTTTTTCTGGGCTCTTTGGCCGTGTTCGGAAGGTTGTTCTTTCTGACGTTTCTGGAAAAATCCTCTCATAGGAAATGTTCAAGTTTTGCGCCGTTTTCTTGTCAAGTCTAAAATCAGGCCCCTTCTCCTGAGTAATGGAAAACTAGCTGGGCAGTGAGGAATGGAATAAGTAACTTCTGCATTGCTGAAATGATTAACAGTAGTGGGTTACTTTTCAAACGTGATGACTGAGTACCGGGAACTGATTACTTCAAATAATAATAATAATAACTTCCCAAGCAACTGCCTGCACCTTCCAAAATGCCCGTTTATTTATCCTCCACTCTCGGAGGCAAAAAGCACGACATGGCACAGAAAGCCCAACCTGGAGTCGCTGAACCAGCTTGTTGCCCTCAAGCGGCCTGGCACAGAGGCAAAAGCAGTGTCACGCCTTGGTATGCCTGAGAGGGTGGCACACATGGGCGCTTGGGGGCACCAGCAGGCAGAGAGAAACCGTTGG